GCGGGTTGTCTCCTCGCATTGCTGCAGTGGCAGAGTGCTGCTTGTGCTGCATCCACAGCGTTTTACTGCTGCTGCTGCTGCTGCTGCTGCTGCTGCTGCTGCAGGCAACAGGGGGAGTCCTGCGGCATACAACGCAGAGGCTCCGCTACCGCAGCAACTTTTTGACTTATAACTGCTACAAGCACCGCCCAGAACCCCAGTAGCAGCAGCAGCAGCAGCACCTGCTGCTGCTGCTGCTGCTGCAATAGCAGCCGCTGCCGCTGCTGTTGCGGAGGCTGCGTCAGCTGTTGCTGCACTTGCTGCAGCAGCAGCAGCAGCGGATTTAGCTGTTGCGTCGTTTGCACTAGCTTGAGCAGCGCCGGCAGCGCTCTCTGCTGCTGCTACAGCAGCAGGACGCTGCTGCTGCTGCAGCAGCACCCGCTGCTGCTGCAGCAGCAATTGCGTTTGCTGCTATTCTTTTTAGGGTTTTGTTTCCCCCCTTGACTCCGGCGGACATCCTTTCTAACTCTGCTGTATCAAAACAGCTAGCCAGCTAGCTAGCTAGCTAGCTAGCTATGTAGCCACTTAGCTAGCTATCTAGCAAGCTAGCTAGCTAGCTAGCTAGCTAGCTTGCTAGATAGAGATAGGGGGAGCTCAGCTAGCCACCGACTGCCTCAGCTAGCGACGCCCGAAAGACTCCGAGAGCTTTCTAAGGCGCAGGTGGCGAAGCAGCAGCAGCAGCAGCAGCAGCAGCAGCAACAGCAGCAACAGCAGCCATGGCAGCAGCACCAGCAATAGCCACAGCAGCTAGCGCTTTTATTGTTGCAGCAGCATCAATCCCCCTCCAAAGCTCCTGCACTCAGACCACTGCAGCAGCAGCAGCAGCAGCAGAAGCATCAGCAACAGCAGCAGCAACAGCAGCAGCAACAGCAGCAAGCCATCTCTATCTTTAAAACGGAGAGTTGAGGCATCTGCAAGCAACTGCTGCAGCAAACTCTAGCTAGCTGCTGCTAGCCAAGGGCTGCAGCTGCAGCCCCACCTCTCCAGCTACCTACACAGCTTGCTGCAGCTAGCTACAGATGTTGCTGCAGCTAGCTACAGAGGTTGCTGCAGCTAGCTACAGTGGGTGCTGCAGCTAGCTACAGAGGTTGCTGCCGCAGCTGCATAGGCTGCAGCAGCTATCTACACAAGTTGCAGCAGCTAGGTGCAAGTAGCAGCTAGCTACAAGTAGCATCTAGCTGCAGCAGCTAGCTACAGGCAGCAGCTAGCTGCGGCAGCTAGCTACAAGTAGCAGCTAGCTTGCTTGTATAGAATGAGTTTCCGTCTATAGCTTCCAGCAGCAGCGCGAGGCGGTGAGCCACCTGAGGACAGACAGCAGCAGACTGCAGCATCTGCTGCTGCTGCTGCTGCTGCTGCGCGCTGCTGCAGCTGCTGCTGTAGCACTCCGCTGCTGCACGTGCAGCAGCTGCTGCTGCTCTGCGGTGTACGCGCAGCTTCTCCTCCCCTCCTTCTGGAAGTGCTGCTGCTGCTGCTCTTAGCAGCGCCACAATAGCAACAGCAGCACGACGGGTGTTGAAGCGAATTGCTGCAGCGCAGAAGCAGCAGTAGTAGCAGCAGCAGCAGCAGCTAGTACAGCCGCAAACCTCCAGGCCCTCGTATCTACTCCAGCACAGCCAAATGATCAGCGCAGCAGCAGCAGCAGCAGCAGCAGAAGTAGCAGCAGCAACAGCAGCAGCATCAACAGCAGCATCAGCAACAGCAA